TTCTCAATAGGAAAAAATCCTAGGAATGTTCCATTAATTTCGAGACTGATGCTATAAAAATAAACGCGATTTTTTCAATTCTGGAAAATGCCGTCAGCCACACTTCCTTCTCATTCAGGGTTATAGGCCAGTCTTTCTGATGTAATCTCTGACGGTTCGAAAGAATTATCTGATCTGATAAAAATATTTATATACGAGGGTCTTGACAAAAGTTCATGCAATAATTCGAAAGATGTCATACAATTGAGCTGAAAAAATTTATTCTTTAGGGAAAACATATTCTTTGGCCCCAAAAAATCAGTCCTTTTTGACAATTTGCAAAATTGTCAAACAGGACTGATTTTTTTGGGGGCCAAAGAATATGTTTTCAGTCCTGTTTGACAATTTTCAAAATTCACCCTAGCAGATATTCACTCTGCTAGGGTGAATTTTGCAAAACATTAAAACAGAATTGTCAAACAGGACTGATTTTTTGGGGGCCAAAGAATATGTTTTCCCTAAGGAATAAAATTTTTTCAGCTCAATTGTATGACATCTTTTGAATTATTGCATGAACTTTTGTCAAGACCCTCGCAATGCATTTGCAGTACCTCCCTCTCAATTATTTCCAGAAATGGATTTTGGTATGAAACACAATTTCAAACTGATGTGTCCGCATTTCTCTCTTATTTTTCAAGCCACGCGCGTGAAACCTTCCTTTGAGTAAAAGGCGCAGATATTATCGAAGTGCAATACTGTATTGTATTTTGAAAATTGTTATTATTTCCGAAGATACTAATTAATTGGTGATGTCTGTAGCAGGCATACTGAAAATAATAAAGGTAGTACGATCTCAATTGATCGATTCATCCTCACATGCATACATAAAAAAATGTTTCCCATCTGGCGAATAATTATGTTACTGCCGATTTGGACAGCTAGGTAAGGTTGACCTTTCATTCTATTAATCTCAGCTGGGTTGGCACGCAACAATTCATAATATAATAGATGAAGATATTCAAAGGATTTTGAGCACTTTCTCGAGAGTTCGAGTATTGATTAAACTTCATTTACAGTGGATGGTATTGCATTGATTCATCATTAATTCATTGAAACGATCGTGTTTAAATATAATATTTCAACACAAACTCACGTTTATATTTTCTAAAAGGTCGTTGGGATTAAGTACTGTACAGTATTTACGAACAGTTCCTGAGTCTAAAAATTTGTAAACCATGAATCGTTAATATATTTGCTCCGTTGTAAAGCAACAGTCTATGAAATCCAACAATCAAATTTGTCCAAGCGATTCAAGTACTGTAGTTATTAACGTGGATATGTATTGATTTGTTGAGTGCTATTTCCTTGCAGCCGGATCACACAAAGATATACAGTACAGCATTTAATCCTTACATTTGAATCGCAGTTCTCGGATCCTAAAAGGTCATACTGGACAAGTAGGGCTCGAGTCTCAAATACTTGTAACTCCTAAGCAATCTCTCAAATCCATCTTCGATTTTTTGAAGCGAAGGAGTCGTCCATCAACACCAGCACGCAGTGAATTTACAATTCAACCAGTTCGCGAGCACGGAAATTAATCAGTACAGCGTGAATCGCTTAACACGATCATATATATAGAAACGAGAAGTCAACATACCTTGTAAGCATCCCACGCCGTGTTCTGGAGCCCAATGATTCGAGAAACAATCTCTCGTCGTCTTCATCGTCGTCGATGCCACAGTCTGTTGAACAACGTCACAGGCGCAGCAGTCGGGTCGTTTGTTTCCTCCCCTCGTATAGTATTATTCGGCGTCTCGGGTGAGTGTATGGCTATCAGATTCCAACAAGACGGAGAACCAGAGACAGACCCTTTTTGAAAAGGCGTCTGGCAGCATGAAGAGATGGCATCTCAAAACTCGTCACAAGACGGCTCTCGTCATCTCGATCGTCGTGGCACTGTCGACTCTCTTTCACACTCACACCCGCCGCCTTCGACACATCGGGGGTCTGTACAGTGTAGTTTTTGGGAATCTGCTCGCTGCTATCCTGCTGCTGACGAGGATGATGATGAGGACTTTGATCGACTAGTTCTGAAGTGCGTGACGGTTCCTCACAAACAGTACAGCACTTGACAACGTTTTTTCGACACAAAACACCTCATACAACGAACCTAGTTGATTCGCTCGAAGAAATTTGGTCATTTTTATCGGATACGCGCGCGTAATTGTCCCATAAACAAATGCACAAAGGTAAATTCATGCATTTCAACCGAATGACGATGAAAGGTCATCAATTCTAAAATCGATATAGACTTTATAGAGCATGAAAAAGTCCTACATCAGTTTGGGAGTATATCTTACCCACACTCTTTCAATGATTACCACGCAATAAGCACGCCAAAAAATAACGAAGAGCTGGGATGATATTACTGTGTTCCACAACCTTTTTGGGACAGCGGACCGGCAAATTTCCTAAAAAATTTTGCCGACCGCTGAATTCCTCAAAAATTGTCTGCGGACTGGCAAAGTTTCATACATTTTTCCAGACTCAAAGAAGTTTTGTTTGAAAGAGTTTATGGTATATATTTGAAAAGTGTCTACTTTTTTATTTAAAAAAATTAAGCACCAATGAAGCAGCTACAAAAGGAAATGTCTTCCAAACATTAGAAAGTTGGACTTGAAGAAAGGTTTCTCAGGATGAAAAATTAAAATAAATTATTTCACAATACAAACATTTGTCTGAAGTGTTAGTTGGGAGAAAAACCAAAATTTTTCTTCATAAGATAATTTCAACTCTGCAATTGTCTGGGCATATTTTTGGATGAAGATAACAGACTTCATTGCTACGTTTTATAAATTCATTATGTTTCAGAAAATGTCCCGCGGACCGGCAAAAATCTTCAGCGGACCGGTGCCGGTCCCCGGACCACGGGTTGGGGAAAGCTGACCTAGAATCCTAGATGATGTTCGCTTCAACAGTATAAAAGATTAATTTCCTCTTGATGATAAATGTAGATCAACGAAGTACTGTTCTGAACAAGTAAAATACTTCTTACAGTACCTAATGACGCACATAATTTTCCAATGTAACATATTTATCATCAGATAATCTTGAAAAAATTAAGTCTTTCTATCGCGCCTTCATTTAGTTATAGACGCCCAGTTCTGAACGAAGGCACTGTCACTGTATACAATATAACTATTTAGAGGTACAGTAATTTTTCTCCTACACCCCTCTTTTAAATTCTGTCCTATTTAACTGACCACAAAATTTACACACAGCAGATCCTAGGTGATCCACATTTTGTAAAATTTCGGATTTTCGTCATCGAAATCCTCTCCAATGCACGTTTGCAAACACGAATGACGATGTTCGACATCTTGACCGGCGCCAAATAGTAAATGTGGAAATTCTCGTTTACCACACGATCATGCACGACACAGCAGGTTTTCAATTCATTGAAAACCGACATGAAGACGAGAAAAGCACTAACCTGGCCAAAAATGTATAGCACAGCACGAAGTGAAGAACGCCACGATGAAGTCGATCCTTTCAAACATTTCCGTATGGCTTGAAGCTCGTTCCTAATAAGCTGAAGATCAGCAAATCAGGAAAACGTAATCCGCCAATGACAGAAAGTTCATCATGAAGCCCTATCGCAACTGCCTCTCCCCATTCTAACGAGTTCGTTTATCAGAAAATGCTTCCGATAAGACATGCATAGCTAGCATGACTACCGTGCGTAACAAATACTGTGCTTCTGGACTGAGCAAAAAAAAAAGAACCCTGAAGCTTTCTTACTTCAATGAGCTGATCAAGTTTTTCGTTTTCCTCTGGAAGGACGAAAGACCCTTCAATATTTACGCGACGTTCAATAAAGAGGTGAAGAAGACAACTGCTAAATGCAATTCTCCGATCTTTTTTCGTTTCTGTTTGCAATTCGACGAGTAGATTATGTGTTATGGTTAAGATCGAAACCTTCTCAATATTAAGACAGTACAGTATAAAAATCCTTGATGCCCTTCAGTGCGCAACTTCCCTGCCAAGCAGCTTGAAAATTTTGGCAGCAACGTAAATTCACTTCATCAATTCGATCTCAACCATCTTCGGAGACACACTGACAAATCCACGGAAGTTTTTCGGCGAATATCGTTGTCCCTTTTAAACCCATGGATTGAAAAGCTTCGCTATTTACTATGCATTGAACATGTATTGTTTTAAGCACTCCAACGAATTAGTGAATGTAAGGGGAGAAATATACAAGTTCCTATATTTTAGTACATTGACATCACCCCCGATCCACAAAGGAAGAACATTTGGTGGAACTTGCCATACGTAGTTGGAGAGCGAGTTTCTGCATTTTCATGTTACCGCGAAGAACATTCTGGGAAAAGTATCTGCTGGATAACGGGATGGACTAGAGGAGAATCGAAAAGTCTTATAGATGCATCATATTAACGTCAAATCAGGCCAAAATTAGCTTCGGTCAGTGCCACATTACCGATTGAGGCAACAGCGGCCCCCAATACAAAAAGTAGAGGGGGCACTCAAGTTAGAAGAACCCAATGACGTCACCAGTTCGTACAGAAGTAAAATAAAAATTACCGAAAAATTTTGCTCTTGATCCGGTGATCGGCAACGCGGAAGAACAGAGGGAAAGCACGGCAGTAAAAGGATAATTGAATTGAACACTGTCGGCCTTTTGCCAGCCAACACTTAAATCTTCAGTCATAATCAAGGAATCACCACTTCAAAAAAACACGAAGCTTTCCCAATAGCAATTTCGTACCTGACGGTAAGTCTCGTCGAATGGAAGAGCCAACATGCGATCATTAACCCCTTCAACGCAATCACCTCTTCGTCACGCATTTTTCAGATTTGAAACCCGTGAAGAAATTCAGGATGGAATATGCTGATGACGGCGGCCATCTGCTGATACAAGAAAATAATCACTACAGCACCATGCAACCGCAATAGGATCATTTTCGCAAAAAGTGAACGGAATAAAGAAGTCAACCAAGTTCCATAGTACATAATTTTTTCACTAAAATATTTCTGGAAACCACATGATTAAAAAAATCGGAACAGAAAAACGGAGAGCGGAACACTGGAACCAATCCTAAAATGAATCCACTTCGCAATACTTCCATTGAATGGGATCGTCGCGAGTCGACGTCCGAGGAAAACATACGAAAACCGGCGAAGAAACACTTCGGTGCAAAAGAGACTGGGTCCAAGACGGCGAAAAAAAACAACAGAAGCAAACAAATCCACGTGCTCCACAAACAATAACAAAAACACGAACGCATTAAAAAGACATCGCGAGGTTTGGACGCAAAAATCACAAATATTACTTTCATCATTGTTCTCCGCGGATATTACAGGGAGTAGCGAAACTGGACCAAGGCTTAGCTGCCACGAACCAACAAAAAAACCGAGACCTTTCAAACCAGGGGCGACTCCTAAAGGGACTGCCAGCGAAGTCGAGACGAGATTCAGGTGCGAATTTCCTCCTCCTTTTTTCTCGGATTCGGACAAGGAAAACACTCATAACCGCGTCACTCCCTTTCCACACAACGCGAAGAGGCGCCAAATCCATGCTCACAAAAAAATCAACGGAAACTCGTCTCCATCCCGCGTTATAAATTAAGATTCGCCATCGCCCCACGTCCTTGCGTTCCGCAGAAAACAAAACACATCTCCCGACAGATCACAACGCCGAATGAACGCGATACAACTCTTTCCTCGATCCAAGTCCCGCTCGAGCCCCGCTCCTCTTACAACGAAGGATACAACAGAAAAATGATTGCTTAAATGCAGAGCAGCTCTCTCGCGACGCACTCCTAATTGTACAACTACTTCATCTTGAATTTTTCCCTCGCAACCGTGACTGATCGTTAAAAATTGATGAGAAGTTGATCCGGTGCGTTGGTTACTCGACCAAGCCACAGGAAGAAACGACACCGGGATGATCCGAGAGAGCACAGAGCGTAGCTGCCCCTCCGCGGAAAGCCGAAGCGATCGATGTGACGTACGAACGGAGAGTGGAGGGGGACCCGTATCACAAATTCGCCAGCTTTTTTTTTTTGCGCGGAAACCATCCCCACAACCAAATACAAGGAGGAATGTTCGCCTGGCTGCCTGCGGTCCTACCCTCGCTGGCCAGAAGGAGAAGCAGGTCGTCCCCCGGCTGCCAAAAAAGGGCGGCTGGCGTTACGATTCCGGCATGGGGGACGCAGAGAGCGAAAGCAAGGAAGTGGACTCGAGCAGAATCGACCTCAGGGAATACCACGTTCACGGTCTTCAAGGCGGCCGTCCACTTCTCGCAGCTTCCTCGAGCGCCCTCACTTTCAGTTCCCTTTCACGCTGACTGTAAATGAGAAATAACACAGCAACAATTAGTTACCCGCTCTTCGCACCAAAAACATAGATCATGCACAATTGAAGATGAATTGTAACAGTTACGAATAGCTCCCGTATGATCATGACAGCGAATAATAGTTCGTCCATGCGATATTCGTAGAAGTCACTGGTAGTCACTAATTATTTCAATTTTACATTTATTCGACGCCGTATTTGATCCTGGGGTCCTCTCATGTGCGAATGCTCGTCGATACAGCAGCATAAAGCGGAGAAATAAATTTAATAAAAATGTCGGTACAATAAAACGGACGGAGAATTCAACCTTTTTTCCTGTTTCAACATTTATTTTAAAGACCTTAAAAAATTATATATTTCTGGGCTCTTCAATCTCATTTTCTGCGCTGACTGGGAGCACGAAAACTGCTGATTTGTCGGCATCACGGCACATCGTTCTAACGTATTCGGAAACTTCGAACTACAGCATTCAGAATACTCCGGAAAATTTGTCAGTTACCATTTACGAACGCGGGCAAAGCATTTCGGATTTTTTTAATCACACAGAACTTTGAAAAGTTCAAACTTTCAGAAAAGAAACTAATTAAGAAGTACTGTACATTGCAGTAATTTACGGAGTTCTGTTCGCATTGAACAAGCTCGACTAATTCGAAGTTCAAACGAAGAGAATATATTTAATAGAAAATATTCCCATTACACTGGACGTTCCCAGGGCACATGATCTTGATTACCAACGGTGAGACTTACCGCAAGTACTCCTCGTGTTGAGCCATGATGGAAGGATGCAGAGACATGGACATAGAGACTGGCACTTGAAATCGTTCGCCGCTCGCAGCGGCGCGCTCGAACAGCAACTGTCTTTGGAACTGCTCTTGTGCGGCGTGGAAATTCAGCTGCGAGCAAGAGAGACAAACAATTAGTAATGACAGAACTACGTTGCTATGCACGCGACGAGATTAACTTGCACCTCTCATTCGCTATCAAAGCAAGAGCACGATCACCCGACACTTACTGATGTGGTTTTGACCTCCCAACTTTGATACGGCAGAAGTACGACTAAATGGCCTTCGATTAACCATACCCACATTTTGATTTGAGCAAATCGACTTCCTTCTGATTGAGAAATTCAACGGGCTAATTGCATTCCAAGTTCGTAGAAATGCATTTCAACGAGCAAGGTTTTTATTTTATCCGTTGAATATACAGTAGTTGATACTCGAATATTCGATCGTTCGGGCGAAGGGAACATCATTGGCCGGGATACTTGCGGTTCTACAGTACAGCAAGTATATATTCGTAGGACGCTGCAAGGAAGTCGGTGGGCTTTTCACAGTCGCGGTGCAACAGACAATACAAATGACCTCTTTTAATTTCCTTCCATTTTGACGTCAAGGGAGAACAAAATTCCACGAATTTTCAGATGAACAATGTTTTACGAACCTGTTGAGCGATTTGCTCATCATAGGCACGACCTCCAAGCAGCGGATTGGGCATTTGAGGATGCATAGGTGATGAACCAGGACCACTCATTCCACTGGGACCGGATTCTCTTGACATCATGCCTCCTTGCGGTCGAGGATAGCCTGGTATGTTTCCGGCTCCAACAGCTGCGAGCAAACGCGTGGATCATGAAAAAATAATCATTCGTACACAAACATATGATGAATTCTACTCTGGGGAATTGAAAAAAAATGGAAGAGCAGAAATTACAAACCTGCCAGCTGCGCCATCCTCTCTGCGTGTAACCGTTGTTCCGCAGCCGCCGCAGCTACTGAGGAAAACATTTGCTCACTCGCACCTAAATAGACGCAGCCATTGGTGACTTCATCAAATTATTCCAATAAAAACATTGGATTACCAGAATACGTCACGTTTTTCTCAATCCTCAAATTTAAGGGAGAAATCAATCTTTACCATCGAGTGCATTAAATATACTTCTACAATGATGACTGCAACGCCCGACAGAACATATTAAAACAACTGAAAGTTCTCCACTACATGAAACGTATGATATCCCGACATACCTAGTCTTTCAAGCCGTTCCCTTTCTAAGGCGGAGAAAGCTTGTTGACCAGGCATGTTTGCTCCGTAGAGACCCGGGAACAATTGAGCCGCAGAGGCCAACCCTGGATGTCCACCACCGGGTCCACCAGACCCACCAGGCCCAGTTACCGCCGCAGCTGCCGCAGCAGCAGCCGCCGCCACCGACTGCTGCAAGCCGGGCGCCCCAGGCGGCAGCATACCGAACCGTCGGTGCAACTCAAGCCAATGCGGAGAATCCTTCAAGTTTAGCCCTCGTGCCAGTTCCCGCTCTTGCAATTCTCGCAACTCTCTTTCACGCTTCTCACGTTCCATTTGCTCCATTTCCATTCTTGAAAGAATATAAGGACCGAAACTATCACCATCACATTACACTGGAATTCCTGAAGAATTTGATCCTCTTCCGAATTTATTCCAAAACATCATTCCAGTAAATCTTTGCAAGCCATCGAAGACGAACTGACATATTCACGAAGCATGACTATTCACTCCGATAAAATCGAAACCATTGTCCTGTCTTTTTTATCTAATTTTTTATGGACTACCCTAACACAAAATCAGATACACATGTAACAAAAGTAGTTCGCATAAATCTGTTAGCGTGCACCTTACGCAATTTCCGCTTGAACCTCACTCAGAGAACACAGTTTATGAAGATTTGCCAAGTCTTGTGTTACTATACCTCGCTCTATCACCGTACAGTTGATACTGATACATCGGATCCAATGGATGCCCCGGAAAAGGCATCATCCCTTGGCCCGGTGTGGTCCGAGGAAGGCAAGAGGAAGGCGAGAATCCTGCATGCGGCCGCGCGTACTCACTGCATAAACAAGAAAATAGCCAATCAAGTTTAAGAAAAAAAAATCCGGACGATTTCCCAGATTCAAACGAAAAATCACGGAGGAGGAAACATTTTATTGAACGTGTTCCGCGAGTAACGTTTCTCCGGCATCACCGAAAACCGGGGGAAAATTCAGAAAACAAAAATTATAATACTGTACAGTAATTACCTGAGTTGGCGTAAGGCAGGCGTATCCGGATAAACCCCGACCGGAGATCGAAATCGCTCATAAGCCGGTGACGATATCGACTCAATTGGTCCTCCAGTACCTATTCCGGCTCCTTGAGGAGAGGGGCCCGGCGCACCAAAGCTCTTGGGAGTTTCTCGTCTCGGTTCACTGGCGGGTGCGTCTTTTTTCGCCTGGAAATAAAACAACCGTTTAAATGATGAACCCGAAAAATGACTTCAAATTTGAGCATTCACAATCTTGATCCGAAGTCAAAATCGCATCAACTTTGCACAAAATACTACACGAGGAATACACCCATAGCTCTCAAAATATTGCACAAGATATATTATTTCGCCAAAGGCGATTACCGACGCAAACCTCCACCCTCCCCCTCTGGACATAGCTTCGAGAGAAAATGCAGAATCGCTCACGTTCGCTTGTGCGACAGCGGCTTTCTCCCGCTCTTCGCGCTCCTTTTCGGCTTGCTTTCGAAGTCGCTCCTCACGTTTTCGGGCGAGTTTCGAATCAGGCACGGGTTTGAACGTAAGGTCAGTTCTTGCACAAGAGTTCCCCTCACCGCGGTTCCAATGGCGTAGAAAACTGTTCAAAGAACACGAAAACGCACACATGATCAAATTCCCAAGTCTTGAAAAATAATTATTCAGGATAAATATCAAGAATACAACATATTTGAATAGAAAAATGCTAGTACTGTTAGGCCTGCAAACTAGATACTGCATGAATATCGCATTTACGCTACTACTTTACTTCATTTTTTGAAATTCGAGGAGGAAAAAGTGTACGCAGGCAATTTTTCTGTGAGCATTACTGTCGTTTCTAAAATTGTGACTGCCATTTTTTTTTCGGACAACTAGCCACAGCGGCTCGCGCACCGCCTATACTTAAAAACTTCGCTCACACTTATAGGCCTTCATTTTTGGGAGAACGAAGATTGACTACAAGTCGAGAATATACGGCATTAGTACCAGTTTAGTCGTTAACGCAACAGCTCGTAATCTTTGATGCATGCTTACATTGCACTCTCACTGCGATGACACTCAGAATCTTCGATCTTCGGCTCAGGACTGGGCCCTCGGGGAATCTGGTGCGACGGACTTTGCCGCACGAGATCATCTTCTCTTCGATCGTCATCACTGTCAGTTGGTCGCCCCGACAACCGTCCACTTGACGACTGTGGTGGCATCACACCAGGACGAACATCTCTCTGCCCCATCCCGCCCGGCATGCCGCTCAAACGATGTTGTTGTTGTTGCTGCTGCTGCTGTTGTTGATGTTGATGTTGCTGCTGTTGATGATGTTGATGTTGTTGTTGTTGTTGTTGTTGCTGTTGCTGTTGCTGCTGCTGCTGCTGCTGCTGTTGTTGTTGTTGCTGTTGTGACTGCGGTGAGTGACCAGGCAATCCCGGGTGAGTCATTCTCGGCTGTAAATATGAATGTGGCTGCATAAGGCTGGCAAGGTGCGGCGGGAGGGCGCCCATAGCACCACCGGGGCCGAGCATTTCTGGTGGCGGCAGGCCATGCTTGGTGGCACCAGCTAGTGGAGATGGCGGGGGTCCTAGTCCTGATGCCATTGAAGGCGGTAAAGGCTGAGTGGACGGCGGCCGACTGCCTGGATGAGAGTTCGATGTATCCATTTGCTGGCCCACGGTCACCGGTGACGACGATGGAGATGCTCCACGTGGAAGCGAGGGATGCGGTTGCAGAACATGTTGCATCATTCCAGCGGCTCCGACCATCGGCAGACCATATGGATTTCCTATAACGAGGAAAAACAATCGATTAAATAAAAATGCAGTACCTGTATTTTACATGGAACTTCTCGAACAAAAAGCTTCAACATATTTGGAAATTGGAATAGCGAAAAAAACTGCGCGCGTATTTCATCACAGGACTTCGTGATTCACGCGCTACTAGATATAAAGTACTGTACAAAAAACCCAATATTTCGGTAAATTCTAGCATATTATCATGAATTACCGTCCTAGGAAAGTTGTGCGGTAGGATGGATGGGGAAATATTGACATCACCCGGACTACAAGTTTTCCGAACTTCGGTCATCCTCTCTTCACTGTACAGTATTATTAAACCTCTAAGGGTCCATAAAAAATGCGGAAATCAGCGGAATCTTTACGAAAACGCTTATCGTAAGCCAAAATGAGAGCGACAAAGAATGAAAAGTTTATGTCCGCAGAAAAATTATCTTCTCTCTTGCCTAGATTATCCGTGAAATAATGTAACGGTGGTTTGCATGGAAAAGGTCAGAAGTGTTCCCCTGATTTTTCGAAGTGGCGAAAACATGCACTCGCTTGCTGGGATGATGTCACGATTTTTCCACCTTCGTTTCACAATGAAATGGAACGTACTTTTATCATCTTTTGTGGTACCAGCGCGGCATATTCTCAAAATCTTATTTGTGATCAATTCCTTTCCAAACATTTCAAGGAACCTATTAAGGTTTGAATCATGAGACTTTTGTGAGAACAAAATTGTCTCAACACAAAAGAAGCTGCTCTTTTACCGTTCATTCACAGTAGTTCAAAAATAAAAACCCCAATTCAAAGCTACTCTCAGATCATTTTCCTAGAAAACCCCCGGAAATCCCCGCCCAACACAAGAAGCCTTTTCGGCATTCACGGGATTTTCCCGAAGAGCTCAATTGGATTTCTCGTCGAGCTCAAAAATAAGCAAAGGAGCTTGTTCCGCGGTAATACTGCGGGAACACCACAGGGAGCTTATAACCAACGCGGGGATGAGAGAAACTAAGACGACTAGGTTTTCTCCTTGTTCCGAGGACGACAAACCTTGACTTCGACATCAAACGCTTACAGTTGTCAAGTACTTCCCGAAGCCAGAGGAAGTAGTATTCAAAGAAACACGAATTTCTTGCATCTTTGTGGACCGACAAGAAATCTACTCTCACTTTAAAGCGGTGCGAAAAAAAACACATTCCAGCGCTGAAGCCGACTTCGTGTCAGCGTATTTCGTACTTGAGAATGCTCAAAATATTGCACGTCACGAGGTCAAGAAAAAATATTTTTATTCATCGAAGCTGAAGACAGTTTTTCTGAGACAAAACGTGCAAACCTTTCACCGTTTTCGCGGCTCCCCGCAATTAGTTTGACGTTCAGTTTTGAACAGGTGAAATGAATGAAGATTGGGATTGTTTCTATGATCTCTTCAAAGAAAGAAGGCCGTAGAACGCGTGCGTTATAAAACTTTTGCCCTTGACTAATTAAGTAGGGATGAGAAATGGGAATGTTCTTCTACAATGCTCATGTGGAAATAAACCAAATTTGTGAGAATTTGTCACTGAGGTTTAGATATTCTATCTCCACAGATTTGCCGAGGAACTTGCGGAACTACGGGAGCTTGAACTTTGAAATTCTATCAAACGGATACTTACAACGCACGAAAAAACATGGATAATAAGGATAAAAAACGTAGAAGTGTTCAAACAAAATCATTCGGAACAAAGCAGTAATAAGAACAGATACGCTTCGAATCGAAGACAAAAATTCGAGAATAAAGGTCCTCCGCCACTTGACTCGCTTCCAGCATGATAAAAAAAACCGATAGTTCCTCGCGAACACTCCTCAGAACCGCAAAATCACACTGGAAACCATTAGTGTGGCACCCCGCGGACTCTCGTCAATTCCCACCTCCATACCCATCCACGACAAATGTTCCTCAGTTTCCCTTCAACCCTCCATGCTACCATTAAGTATGTCATCGTTTATGCCACCTCCAAGGGTTTCTCTCGAAGTTATTCTCTGAGCGTTCAAAGGAAAGGTGTACTTACTCCGCATACGGAAAAACGCGATCTTTGCCGCCAAGGAAACGCGCCGAACTTCAGTGAAAAATTTCTCGGAGATTTCGTTCTATTTGCGTAAGACTTCAGTATTGAAATAATTAGAAGTCCTGTAAAACGAAACCATTTCAGCAGATGACCAGAATACTCTTGGAAAAAATTATCTTAAATTAATCCTTCCAACGATCAACTGTACCAAGATCGGTTGACAACTTCAATGACTTCAAGACGGCATTGTCAAGCTGGAACATCAACAAAACAGAATAATTTCACGGTGCTACGTCTCGGCCTTCATCAGAAGATCGAAGCATTGCATACGACGGACAGTGAGAAATTTTGAAAGAAAGACGGACTCACAGATCACAGATTCTACACATAAAATGTCGACATCAGCTGAGTTATACTCAGTCATATTTTAAAATAGAATACGTCACTCCCCGGTAATAATGAGTACAAATTGGCGCATCCGCGAACGACGATTTCAGAACAAGAAGAGAACGGTTTTAAATAGAGTTTTAATTTCGCACATTAAGAGGGTACAAAAAGAGTTCAGAAAATGATTTTCCTTTAAATCCAAGACTTCCCTTCAAGTCCCTATTTCACTACTGCTCAAGCTCAAGAGACACGTGACTTGGACCGCATGAACCATTTTTTCTCGGATTCCCCGTCCAAAAAAAAAAAAAAACATCGTAGTCACTGTCCACGAACGTAGATGTGCAAGTTTCAGCAGTGAAGTTGCGCAGTCACCGGGAATACATGAAAAAGGGTAGAATGGTACGGTGGTTTTTTTGGTGAAATTTTAAAATTTGCGAAGCAACGATCCGTAAACTTCGACAAGGCGGTTTCCAGCATGTAAACCCTCGTACATATTTACAGTATTTGAATTAAAAAAATCGTCGCGTCAAGGGATTCTCTTCAACGGCAAAAGGAACTGCGAAAGAAAAATAAGTTAGATGAACAGAATAATGTTTGCCGCGGTACTGGTCTGAAGTACCGGTACTCCTTCGGATTCGTCACCTACCGGAGATCTCACCCTAATAATATTTACCAAACTCCAGACAACACAGGTTTTCCACCTTTTCCAGTACATCGACCCATTTCAGTCTACACACGGGGACTCAAGACCCCGATGAATTGGTTCCTTTTCTAGCCTTGATAATTTTCAGTATCGAAATAAGAACAACGAAGTAATGTAAATAGATACACCGACTGAAATTAACGTTAGAATATATCAACGGGGGACGAATGAAAAAAATTACAGGGTCCGTATTATGAATAAGATATCTTCATATTGACTAAAAATGCTTTCATTCCATCACGTTTATAGCTTTCATAACAAATTAGAAACAATGCCTCCAAAAATAATCGTCGTGCGAACCGCTCATAAAATGCCTCTGATTGAATGAGGGCATGATGCATCTAAATTACTGAACTAGGGTCGAGTGAACAAAAACGTGCGACTGAATCCAGCAGCTGTTTCAGATGAAAATAATTTCGTACTTGAGTTAGATATGCGCTTGATGGTCGAGCAATTTTGAAACCGGCCGCAAGAATAATAAAGAAAAAGACTGCAGCAGCCACACAAGCGAAGGATAGATGTTAATTTTGAAACGGGTGGTTTCGAAATTTTATGCACAACTTCGCCGGTCATAAACAAACGGCGAATATTCTGGGTTTGAAATGACTACTTGTGACAGCGGAAAACTCAACTTTTGTTACAACATTACCCTGATTAGAACTTGGAAAAATTAAACTTTTCAACTTGTTGCATTATAAAATCTTAATCGGCTGTTGGAATGCAAGAACAATGAGTATAACCTTGACATGTTTACACCTATCGGACGTCTTAAATTCATGCACCTCACGCCACGAACGCACCAAACCAACGGGAAGAAGGCAAGTGAAAATTTCAGCGAAACTTCCATATCTTCGAAGTACAATTCACTGATTTCAAATCGGAGACAAAAATTTGAAATTTGAAGTTAAACGGATTCAAGAAAAGCTCACCGCTAGATGACGCGGGAAAGTTCAGATTATACAGCACTGTATTTCATTCGTTCAGCAGAACGCTCTGGGAAACTCGATTCAAATATTATACCGTATACCTAAGCTCTTGAAGCACTAATCAGAATATATTTTGCTGTACACACGTTCAATACAAGGGCCGAATACTGTATCACTCTTCTTGTGAACAAGATAATAAGCGCTTTACAAATAAAGTATTTAACTTGACAAATTCAATCAGGAAAAGGAATCATAAAACTGCATCACGAAGTGAGCGGCAAAACCCGAGAGATCTGTGCCTAATTTTTTTTTATCCCGCAACCTCAGCAACACCCGTTCCCAATTTCCGCCGCTAAATCGTATCACTTGTTCCCACAGCAATCAAATTCACGGCGATGAAAATTTTGCGTATTTGCAGAAAAGCCAGTTTTTTCCGGATTCGCCGACGAGGGCTCGAACAGCGACGCGATTCCAAATTACCGAAATGTGGACAGAAAAGCATGAACTTTTTTTTTTTACAAAGCGAGCGGGATTCCCTTCAAGTCCGCGCAGCAGATAATGAACAGTAAATCCAAGCAGAAAGCGATGTGACTCATTCTATATGATCAGTTTCCCGACAAACTCCCTATAATTGTCACCGGATTTCAAACGCGGAAAAGAGCTAAGTAAACGACTCTTGGAAATAAATCCTCCCGCCGCCGAGCGTCAGTTATTTTCTTCAACGTCTTGAAAAACTTGAAAAAAAAATTTTTTTTGCCCATCATCATAAACTAAAACACACTGACTGGAGAAATTATTCCCAAATTATGAAATTACAGTATAGTAAAATAAATGCTGTAAAAAAATTAACCGGGCTTCAAAAATTGAAAAGACGAAAATGCAGTATGTTAGCTTACCGGAAAGCATGGACCCCATCGGCGCAGAACTTTGGGAGGGCTTCGATTGCGACTCTGAGGTGCTCAAACGAACCGGCAGGCTGGTCGGAGTTCCACCACTTACGGCTGATCTCATCCCACTTGACAGAGTCGTAACCGAGGTCACAGTGCTCATCGACGCACTCGTCGCCGACACTCTCGCATCCCCGTAGCCCGGTCCATGCAACTTCGCAAACGAATCCCGGCTTTTATCTGACTGCGGCGGCGGCGTAGACATCGGTTTCTTGTCCCTCGAATGCGGTCGCGTTACCAACGCGGGGGATTTCGCCGACGGGGATCGCGCAGAACTGGCCGACGGAGACGGTGCACCCGGTAGAGATACAGGAGGCCCGAACGGCGGTGGTACGAACCTGCCGGCGCCGGGTGGAGTGCCCGGTAGACAAACTGACGCCGGTGCCCCTGGGAACCCCGGTCCGGCTGGGTACGGATAGTACGGGTAGCCGTAAGGGTAACCATATGGGTAAGGCAGCGAGGTGGCAGGGAAGAACATGGGGTTGGCGGCAAGGTGCGGCGGGAAAGGCAGTCCGTGTGGTGTCCCAGGGATCACAACCTGCGGCGGCGGGCCTGTAGTTATCGATGCTGCGGAAATTCCGGCACTTGCCGTGCTTGCAGGTCGTTTCAGTTCCTCCATGGAGGGCTTGATTTCCTGAGATGTCGAAGCACCATGGTTCGTTCCTTCGGCGTTTTCTTTTTTCACGGGCGGGAATTTCGATGAAAGACCCGATGGTGAGCCGGCTTCTTCCTTTATGACCATGGATTCGGATTGTCCGGCGAGAACAACACCAGCGCTGTTGGCTACCGGTGGGATGATGACAGCGGATGATGACGCCGTCGTCGGTCCTGTCACGCCCGAAGACGTGACAGGACCTTGGACGATCACCCCCGGCCCAGCAGCGGACACAATTTGTTCTTTGCCCATAAATACTGACGCCAAATTCATCTGATCCTTGGGAACTCCGTTGACGCTCGTAGAAGGAGAATGATCCTGCTTTACCACTTGGCTCCATGGAGAAGCCGGGGATGGAACACCACCTTCAAGGATTCCCATTCCGCCGGGTTCCTTCGGGCTGCACAGATTGTTCTCCAGTTTCACGAGACTAGGCGCTGATGGCACAACTGGGACAGGTTTGCTGATGTGACTCATGTTCAAGACGCCCACGGTGTTCTCTCCGTCGATTGGTTTCGCCTCCAGCCCTTCTGAGGGTCCGTTGCGAAGCTTCAACATCACAGGCAGATTTGATCCTTCTTCCGGCTTCAAATAGCCAGCGACGGAGGCGTGATCATCCACGTCGGACAAAACACTGCTTTCAGAGGGCGACTGAAATGGGAAGAAAACGTTAATTTTCGAGAAGACAAACATATAAACTTTATAATAAAGAAAAAAGATCGTTACCCTCGGCGGTTTCGCTTTCCCCTTGGTGATGCTTTGAATTTCTTTTTCTTCGTCGCCGTCGAGTTCCTCATCCTCGTCTTCGTTGAGCGTTCGAAGACGCTTCCGATCTGAGCCCTTTGCTCCGTCACAACTAGCAAACCCATCATCATCTTCGTCGTTCAGACGCTTTTGGGCCAGGGAACTAGAGCCGGTCACGTCCGGCTCCTCTTCTTCAGTCACAATGCCGTCGCCGTTCTCCTTCGGCAAAACGGTGGGCTGCTCCGGCACTGAGAGAGGATTCACATGATTCGTCTCGCCGTCCATGGCGGGCGACACAACTAAAGCTTTGCCGTCATTCAGACGCTCTTTTTCGCCGATGTCAACATCGGCGTCGTTATTGGGTCCACCAGCTGCCACGGATTCTGCAGGTACGGTGACAGCTGGTGGCTCTTCGTCTTCTTGCACAGGCCGGAACATGAAGTCCGGCGTCAGGCAAGAAGTCGGCCGTTCTTTAGGGAGATCAGGTAACTGACCGCCTTCTTTCCAGTGACAGAAACACTCGATGCAAAGTAGACTCTTATCGCGACCAAGGCCGGCCGGCGCGGGATGCCATTCGTTCGAACCTGAATTGCGAATAGATTCAAGTATAGCCGATAAATGAAAAATTCCCTTCAAAGATAACGGTAAGCTAAACCAAAGAAGCGTGCGACCACATCGAGAATCCAAGAACCTCAAATGTCTCACAGACCGAAACACATTCAAAAGATTCAAACCGCTCTCACGAAGAATTTCTCAAATCACGCACACACACGAAATTTTGAGAAAAACTCACTTTGAGCTAAACAATGGAAACAATGGTTGTTGTTGGACTCCGTGTCCGTATCTCCAGAGTCCCCTTCGTCATCGCTAGCAGAACTTTGTTGATCTTTGCTCTGCTGACGATGATTGCCCCGTTTGCGATGGTTTTGACGTCCTCGATGTCGTCGGTTGTTCGGACGTGATGCATTGGCAGGACTTCGTTTCCACAAGTAGTAGAACTCGATGAGTTCGGCCTGAATTAAAAACCACAAATTAAGTCAAAGTATAAATTAAGCTACAAAAAATATTTACGCATCAAGATGGCTTACTCGGTAAAGAAAATAAAAAATGGAGTATAGCATGCTTGATGAATAATAACAGACTCTTGAGGAATACAAAACCGAAGTGATCAGGGATACGGATTCATCAAATATTCCGGTCGCCAGTCGGAGAAGCTAAATAAAACAGCGCCCGATCAACAAATAGGGTCGGCTATTTTTCACTTGAAACGGGCCGATTCAGCACACAACTTTAAGTTTCCTCCCAACCCTCGAAAATAAAAACGGTGCAATGAGAACTTTCATATTCACCGACATGTTTGAGATAACTCAACAATTTTATGTGCACATTTCACGGCTCCGTTCGCAGCCATATTTGCACGTTCTGTTTGCAAATTTTCCTGAGCAAGCGCCAACCCTGTTGACACTTTTCCCCTTGTACCCCACTTTTTATAGCCTTCCCGTTTACACCGGGTAAACATTAATTCCTACGTCGCGGCTGGGCCCGTCAATAACTTTTCCGAGAAAAGAACCATCTTCAGAAAAATCTCCCGATTCCTTCAACGCACCGTTTCTTTGTGAGGCAGCAGTTCTTTACGAATTCGGAAAAAGTTCTTCCCGAACTGGCGTAGTCCCTTGGTAAAACGTTTCTGGAAGAAAATAACTCACATAAGTTTTCAAATAGTCAAGGAAAAAGTTGATTACTCACGACTTCTTCCTCAGACCACTTCTTGTCCATGGATTTCATGACGGGACTTTTGACGAGTGTTGTGAGAGCCATCCGAGTATCATAGTTCCTGGAATGCAACTGCACAGAAAACACGAAGTCAACAACTTACAATTCTATCAGCACTTATAGGGGAACACGAACAATGCTCAGCGCATTCAAGGTGGTATCGTCGCGAGACGCGAACGTGCTCCCTTCTTCAGTGGAAACACCGAAACTCATTCCAGCAAAAGCAGCGATACTACGAGACGCTCGTAGATACATGAGGAGGTCATTGTCAGACGTTAAACCAGGACACCAGCGCAGTTCTTCCCAATCCTCGCACGTTTCCGGCATGTCTTCAGGGTCGATTTCTCCTTGACAATCTGGCAGATCCGCCTGCATTCGAAATAACCGCATACGCGGATGACGTTCCACATACCTCCATAGAAAGAAGAAGAAAATATAACTGAACTGTACCTGATGCATGGAGCCGACCCTGATTTCACCCGTTGAATGCGGGGCCGCCATGGTCGCGATCGAGCACGAGCGTTCACTCGGCCTCAGTCATTCGCGTACAAATTTGGCACCATGGCCTAAAATTACGATTTGTTCCAAGCAGATAAAAAAATCTGCAGATCTTTCACTATTTATGTTCAATGCTCACTAATTTAGCCATATCACTACATACATTGATAACTGACACGTGGGATGACCCGCAACCGTCAGAGTCTTCCCATGCCTGATAAAAAAAAATTGAATATTTATCATATGAAAGAACATTACACGGACGCGTGCCGAAGAAAAGCATAATGAAGTCAGATGGCATTTAAGGCTGAACAAATTCAATTAAAATTCTCACAACATGAACGTTTTCACGCTTCACATTCCCACACAAGACGCGAAATTCGGCGATAAATCCATGCATCAATACGGCTCATTCATCACTCCAGTTCACAACGATTAGTACACGGACGGATTTCAAATATTTAATTCACACATAAATCCACACGTTCCATTTTCCAACGCACGTCACGCCACCACGATTGGCCAGCAACATAATTAAAAAAATATTCACTCGGCCGGCTATTTCGTCACTGCGATATTTCTCAAAAATTTTCCGAGACCGAATTTAATTTTCGTAAATAATTACCCAGTCGGATGGAAGTAAATTCTCCAGGAAATACTCGAACCTGCGATTCACCGCATCCTTCATTCGCGTCCCCACGAGACGCGAACGCAACGAGGGGATTTCACCGTCGTCGCCATGCGGACGACCATCTTACCAAGTGCACCGAAAAAAATTACCAGCCGGGAAAGTTCGAACGCGCCGTACTACAGCTGCTCCCTGTCCGTCGCCGGACCGCGAACCCTCCCGCCACCCGCGTTCTTCATGCCCAGCAGCAGAAAGGAGGAGGGGCGTGGCATGCGGATATTAACTCGTACAAAAAGCCCCATTAACCTCCCGTCTCCGCTTATCCCCGGCGAGTCAATAATCCCCAGAAGCTACAGGACCTACAAATTCTCGTGTGAATATACGGCTTTAGCACCCTACCCATCCCCTCTCCCCACACACTTGTACACAAAGCCTTCTGAATATCGAATTCTATGCCTTTGAATTAATACAGTGCAGGTATGAAAAGGGATAACATTTTAGGAATGTTCATCCGTGGTATTCTTTTTAAATTCTCATTAAATTCAAGCATGAAAGTTTTACAACGGAACCTCAGTTCGATTCATCACGTCCCTTAAGCTTCCTTCTTGACCGCGCTTCATCCCAAAAATAATTTTTTTTCAATTTCATCGAGTGGGTGGAATAATAAAGGTCTATTTCTGGCATCCAACAAAACGAAAGATCATTAATATCATGGTTTGGTTCACGGGTTGAATAATCAAAAATTATTGTGCCCTCTTTAATTTTCATTGAGCACATGATATTGCGTACATTTCTATTAAAAAAATTAGGCCCTCTTCGAAATATATTCGACATTACTGTTACCATTGAAAATGTTCCATCAATACATGGTGATTCGGGCACAAATTACAGTAATTGGAAGAAATATGATATTTACAGTATTTATTTAAGTACCATGTGTCCTCATGGAAAGACAGCATCACCATCACTCCATCTTTCCGTCTTTCGTATGGAAAAAAAACATATGCCCCATCAGCAAGACGTGCGCATCCTGTTCATGGTTAAAAACAAATACTGTATTTCAAAAATGCAGTTTAGAGGAAAATGTATACTGTATTTGAATCATGCCTAAGTTTAATTCATTTTCAATTGAATTTCCTTTTTCAAATGGTTCGAACATTTTTCCGCGAGTAATTTACATAAAAGGTTGATCTAAACCGTAAAAAAGTTGGAAACCCTTATACCCATTCACACTACTTACGTGAATCGTGCACAATTATTTTTCCCTCTCTACGCCTTTTTGAAAAAACGTGTAGTTTCGTATTCAAGTAAAGTAATAATGTTGCATAGGCTGCAAAATCAAAGAATGTACCTCAAGAATAGGCCGAGCCCGAATTTAATTAGACGTTTCTCGGCAGAAGTGCGGCCTTCAAAATTGCAGAATTCATCTACAACAGGTTTAGTAATCGACTGTGCGCTTGAAGACGTAAGGAAATTAACTCGACATATAATACTCGTTCACCAGCATAATACAAAAACATTGTTTATTGTCTAAAGAAAAAAATGTAGACTTCAAGAAGATACATGAAGATGTAATGACCACAATAAAGCATGCGTCATAATAACTCGTCGTCGGTGCTCATTTTTATTATTTATTTTATCTCTCTTTTTTTTGCCTCATCAGCATTCCGACGAGGCAATCGACTTGCCCCGATCCATTAAAAGCCCCTGAATGCCTTCGCGTACATCAACACGCAGAAACAGAAAGGAACGCCGACGACCCGTTCGGGATCATTCCATTGATTACCCGAGCCAATAAAGAAGAAGAAACTGAATCGAGACTCGCGGGCGCTAATCAATAGAAAGGGGGGATTAATCAGAATTAACCGCAGGTGGCAATCAGAGCGGCCCAGGGAATCGGTTCTCGGCTCTCTGAGTGTCCCAATGCTCGATCCACGACTTGGGACACAGCGACTCGAACGCTTTCTTGAAATAATTGCAGGCGTCGTAGCCCTCGCCCTTCATCTTCGTGCAACGATAGAAGTCCACGTAACTCACGTAACAATGCCTGAATCACAACAGCGAAACAAAGCAAACAAAACAATATTGGCTTCAGTGAATAAAATACAGTTATAGTCCCTGTATAATGACAAGCCGTCGAACCCGACATAAACGGATGATTCGACTATACTTGGGGAAACTTGAAACTTTAAAAAATCTGCCCCAATATTCGGCAATTATCTCGACATACAGAAACTTTTCCCACATTTCTAGAAAAATACAAAGCACTTATATTTCAAAATTTGGATTAAAAATTTATTTAAATATAGAAAACAGGTTAATTTTGTGTTTTCTCCTTCATCTGTGCACAGTATATAATATTGCACAAGACCATATAGTTCAGTACTTTTTTCTTTCCTCTTGAGGTCCTTTTGATTGCAAAATCAGATTCTTGTTGGTAATCTTTTGCTCAGTTATATATATTCAGTATCTTAGTTGTGAAACACATTTTCTTCAATTTTATGGGATTTATTTTTAATTTTTAATGAACTGGAGAACTAATTAAATAAGTTCCCAATGAAGTCTATGGGATAATGTGATCCGACATGCGGACATCCCAACAAATAAAATATAGGAAAGCGGTCACAAGCACCAATTACGTCCGCATCTTGGGATCTCACGGTATCATGAATGGACATTTAAAGTTCGGTTAGATACATAAAGGACGTCTTTGGAACACTATAAATTCAAAATGTGTCTTCATATGATGGAGTGGAATATGTTCCTCAAAATCAGACGTGATTTCCTTGAAATCAGCTGAAAAACATTGCGCCCATGTTTTAAATTCAAGTCGAAAACGCTCACTTTCAAGACGGACAAGTAGGATTATATACATTATTCTTCGGACTTTCCCAGCACCTGAACATTTCTGCTGGTTTTCACGTATTTGAACAAAAATACCTTGCGACATTACGTTGAATTTCTATATAGTCTATACTAAGGACATAAACATTGAACAACGTTGAATGTCTTAAGTCCATATAAATGTATAAATAGGGCATTTGTGAATTCCTCAACAGTATTCAAAACAGCATAATATCTATCGCATTAAACCAAGTCACATGATGACATCCCATAATAAATAAATCGTGCGCAGCAGGAACAAAGTTATTTTCTCCCAAGAATCCGCCACGAATTCCATCTGGTCTAAATAACGTGCAACACACCCGTCAAACAAGGTCCGATTATAATGATGACATCCCATAATAAATAAATCGTGCGCAGCAGGAACAAAGTTATTTTCTCCCAAGAATCCGCCACGAATTCCATCTGGTCTAAATAACGTGCAACACACCCGTCAAACAAGGTCCGATTATAATTAAAACGCAGCATATTCTGATAAAAGGAAACATGACGAAAGAATTAATCAGTTCGGAGATTATGTTTGTGGTTGGTATTGATTCGGATGGCAGGCAATCAGTTTCTAGGGCTATGGATCATCAGAACGATCGATACATTCGTGTATAAGGAAGCGAAGGCGAACAAGCCGCTCCATTCAATGACTCCCATAAAACTTCGCTGATGCATAAATCTCGGCAGTAATGGGACTTGTAGACACACAAAAAAAGAACGTTCTTCTTTACGAGTGTATGGATTATTGTCTCCAATATGTCGGCAGAATTGATAGAAAAAAATGTTATAAAAAAGTTTTTGCATAGGAATTGGAATTTCATGGCAAGTACAATAGAAATATTTGACAACCCTTGAGGAAATATATCTCAGCAAACATTTATCCTTGAGTAGTTATTAATTCTACGAAGTTCTGCATTTTATTCAACTGAAGTGTGGAATTCCATATTTTACTAAGTTTACTCGGAAATTGCCCAAGTGCCTCAGCTTTTGCGAAAATTTTATGTGGCGAGTTATTATAGTACTGTATAATTACATTTTCAAGTGGACAAAAAGTAGAAGTTCTATGAATGATGCTCAGACAGATTTTCGTTTCTCGATATAATTCAAGTTCATGTGAACATAATTTAAACTCTCAAAACGCATTTCATTCAGTTGGTCTAATGGAATATCTCAGTGGCAAAAATTATTCTGACATCATACAAAATAGATCGAACAAGGAAAAAGTTCTTCAAGCGACGCTGATGTAAACCGAAAAACTTTGAAACAATACTTACCGCATTTTACATTAATTACCCTGAAGTACTCTTATTAAATACATACTGTATATACTGCTGTACAGGCATTACCCCGGAACACTGTTCTAAAGAGTGCCGATGAGTACCACTATAAAATCCAAATAAATGAGGCGGTTTACTATAAAGTGAATGGGAAAATCTCGAAAACTTTGTCAAAGTAAAATGAGCATATAATTAGTTTATGTGAAAAGAGACGGTATTATTTAGATGGGATATCTATAATCATTTTTCTATCTTCAAATATCCTCCGATGTAATCCCTGGCTCAGGAAAAAGCTTTAGCCACTTTCTTAAAATCGGATACTTAATTACAAAAAAAGATAACCGCAATTGTTCGGAGTCGGAATTGAACTACTGTACCAAACAAACGATGTATTCTGGTATATATCACTCATATTTAAAATCACTGGCCAAAATCCGCCTGAATTTTTTTCATCTACAAACCTTTCAGCTCACCAATTCTATCTATTTTTTTCATAGCTGTGCATTATGTAAAAATTTGACACCAACATTTTAAAAAGCCCGGAAGTCCATTTTCGGGCCCGGGGAATATATAAATCAAATTATCTGACAAGATCTGGGCCTCATTTTTGAGGGAAAATGTTGCGCATGTGCAGATAAAAAAAAGTTTGTAAAACTGCGACGTAAGATTAAGGGAAATTGCAAACCTTGTCTGGTTCTGGTTGGGAAATCGTGGGTCAAACGGAAGAGTCGCAAGCCCATCGTCAGCCATGTCACCGAGTCGTAGCAGGTGACACCTAGTGAGAAAGGAATGAACGAATAAGTGGAATAGGAGGTCCTTTCCCAAGAATAACACGAGCTTCGAGCGTAACAATAATGACGTTGCCCAAAAATGCTCTTTTGATCCACTGAGAAACCTTTCAAAGGGTTTTTATCCTTCAGTCATACATAATAACAAACATTCTAGCTTCTCCTAATTTATTAAACTAAGTTCCTGTTCATCCACGAACGAAACGCATCAGGAGTTAATGAGTTATCGACGAAGGGTTGCTGGAAAACGATGTGTGGGATCGGATTCATCTCGTGCTTGTTCAACACCCGTCACTCGAGGAGACAAGAGAACAGCAGTTCGTCGTGTCGCAATGACTGTTGTCACCTTGAGAGTTCGTTGTCCCGAATAAATAAATCCTTTTAATTCTTTGAGTTTCATGCGGTGATCAGCTTAAAAATTACAAAAGATTGAAGGTGTATTTATTTTGTGCATCTGTCGCGGATAATTCTCGTAAATCGCGGGTAAATTTAGAGCGAAAAGATTGGCTATACATTTCTATCGAGTGCTGTATTCTTTACAGAGAGCGTTTCTTTTGAAGTTCTAAAATTTGGTATTGGCCGATTTTCCCATACGATAGTACTGCTTAATTTTCTGCGGAACAACGACCCTGTAGCTATTATTGTATGGGTTCTTTATTTTTGTTTTATTTTTAGTGCGTGGATTTTGTTATTTTATATTCTCCTCTCGAGTAATTTTTGGTATCTGAACTTATTGTTATTAATTCGAATGATTTTTATATAAAGACGCTGTGATATTCAAGTTTCATCGGATAAAAGCTTTTCCTTGGTTGAATTATACACGTGCAAAAATGCGAAGAAAGGCGTTATTAGTGAGAGGAGGTTTTCAAGTTATTTTATTTTCAGGATTTAAGCATTAGTTTTACCGGCATGAACAATGGAAGTTATGACTCGCAATTCTTAGAAAGCTTCAAGTACGAACTGTATATAGTCGGAATTTTGCTGACTTATTTTCTCCCGAATAAGTACTCCATGAGTCAAATTTATGCAGGTCGTCATCTCAAGCTTGCTGATGGATCATTTCCTGAAAGAATTTTGCAGATTTCGCCACCAAAATTGGAAAGGATTCTTCATTCATTTTGAAGTACCATGGGGAGAAAGCTCCCACTGCATGAAGTCATGACAGTTGGAACGATTTTTGGCGAAAGTTTCAGAGCTGAAATTTTGAAATTCGGCCCTCTGTTAAAGTTAAATAGGTACCATCGAGGATGTTTCATTACAAGCCAATATGTTTGTACTTGGTAATAACCAAGAGAGAAAACGGAAATTATTTTTCAGCAGAGTCGAGTCTGACTAGGAAAAAAAATACAGTATATAGATGTCATGTTATATTAAAGCCAGGAATAAACTCAATTATTTTTTAGATATTGGCAGTATTGTATGCGTATAAATGCAACGGTGCTTGCTTCCGGTTCTATGCAAATCATTTTGAAGAATTTATATTCATCTTTTTAATGTGACATTATCAGGAAGTGCGCGGTATTTATAAACCTTTTCTAAGGAAAGTCTCACAAAAATATTAACATGAGAAATTCCCTGGTTTCTCGGAAAAATTTCAAGCAGTTCTCATCTCATAATGCTTTTAAAGCAGGATTTTTGCTGGATAATCATTTTTTAAATCCTGTATTTTAATGCCAGCTAAGACTAGCGAAATCTTCCACTTTCTAATCTGATGTTATGGGGAATTTTGTCCAAGGTCTTTATGCATTATATAATAAATTTATCTTTCCATTCAGTTATTACGCAGAGTTAATTTCAGGAGCACACGTGACAGCTTTGGTATTTATTGAAAATCTCTCAATCCGCTTAGAATAATAATCTCTCTTGAGATGATTGACTGATTGCTTCGAGCTGAAATTTATATTGTTTTTATTGCTTTGAAAAGGAAAAAAGCTGTAAATTCTATTAGGAATTTTTCTAGGTTACATAATCGTGGTTGATAGAACATTAGCAAAATTTAAGATATCTGCTTTCGGAGGAATATTTACGATGCGTTTTTAAGTATCCTTGCTGGAAATTTGCTTGGATTTTGATGTCATTAATTAATATTCGCACTAATTTGAATTGAAATGAGGGAAGTAATAAGATCTATCTCTAATCCAAAAGAAATTAACTTGGACATATTCTCACTGTCTTGGATAATATTTTTGTATTTCCAGGAATGTTTGGCAGAATTCTGTCAAGCAACTTTGGAACATTAATTTGCTACAGCATTTAAGACTTTTTTTTTAATAAAAAACATGTAAAGCATACATTCATATGCACATTATTTTCTTGAATTGTGTATAGTGTATTTCTTTAAAAAATTGGAAACCAGTGAAAATATTTTCATAAATATAATCATCCAGGGTTTTTCTCTTCCTTTATATATAGTAACAAAAATATTGTAACAGCTTCTTTCCTCGTGCATGTCCACAGAAGTGTGTAATGACGGGTATATTCAACAGAGGAAACAAGTGACAGACGGTAGACGGTAAATGTGATCATTAGGCTAGAAAGATCCCGTTTTCACACCTTACTCTCTTTGTTGCAGGCGTCATTAAACAATTATGAAGTCATTTGAGGCTCGCGTTTTACGACGCAACAATGACGCCGACAAAACGCCGCAAGTCAGCGTTCATTCCTCATTCAACGCAAAGCCTTTGTTTTCAATGCGTCTTTCCTCAGGTGAATATACATGCTTAATGACTCTAACCACGCGATAGCATCATTAGTGGTCTAATTAGGAATAATGAGAAGACTTCATTGCAGTATCGTTTACGCTTATCAAGATAATGTGTGTTCAAGACTGGCTTGAAACGTCGAGGATCCGAACATATGCGTCAATCCGTTTGTCATACAATAGTAAGAGAGGCAAAATATATTTATGTTTATAATATTTATCGTGAGGCCATTCTATGTCAAATCGCGACAAGACAGCATTGAACGATTTTGTAATATTTAATTGAGTTTATTCTTTAGACTTCTTGAGTGGCTTAGATTTTACTTAATTTAGAACTGTCATATATTGTTCTCCTTCTCCCCCTCACCAAAAAAATCAGGTTTTAATTTTTTCAAGGTTAAATGAATGCACGTAAATTTCAGAAAATATTCGGAAATTTCGCGGTGAGTGCTTCAAATTTTGTACATAAATTCGAGCAATTGCGTCGAGTAGATTCAAATAACTCACGTTGCATTCGACGATTTGTTTTCTCAAGGACAAAGTCATCCTCTGTCTTACATTGAAAATCAGAATCAGCCTTCCTACTTTCGCGATAATATCAATCAAGTTTTACGATATTATTAAAATATGTCAGTCACATTCATTTCAGTCGACTCGTTTATAATTTCAAATTGATACCACAAGAATGCGTGCTTTTATATAAGCTATTATACAATATTCCCCAAAACTCTCGACCTCTTGCTCAGCAGCTTTGTAGAATTACGTTCTCCCCCATCAAAATCAGGGTCATTTATTTCACTGTATTTAAAACATTGCACCATTTAATGCAATTTGTATTTCCAGTGAAGACTGAAGTACTTCAGATATTTTCACAAAGTTTAGAAAGGCGCACTGTCTGAAACATCTGTATCATAAGGCAGATAATTGGGAGGTCGGAACCAAGGAAAAATTCGACTCACACAAAATTTCATTTTTTCTGTGACAAATATTCAGAAGTTTTGACTGATTTGCTGTCTCTTCACATTTTTCTCTGATTTACATCTAAGCGCTTGAATATACCTGTATGAAAGAAACCTCCAAGTTCCAAAAATAATTGATATCAAACAGGTACATTTTGTTAACATATTTGATCTTTTTTATTTATCAATCCATTTTTTTGAATACAGTATTTTAACTCACCCAGCATGATGAAGAGATAATAAAATTACTTCATGTCGAATAATTAAGGGCTTATACAAGAGCAGATGTTTGAATAAATGCCTTGCGGGTTTATCCGCAAAAAAACGATAAAATTGGCAGGTATTATTTTCAACAGTACTGACGTCCATGAACGATGACTATTAAACTGTCGTCTTTGGCCAAAGTCTTAACCTTTTGTTGGGTGAAATAAAAAGATTAATGAAAGTTTGGAGTACTTCGTATAAATTTTAGACTTATAGTTATTGCCTAGTAGTAGTAAGCAGCGTATTTGCGACCAGTTGAATCACTGGGTTATTCATATTGCTGGTTTTGATTTATATAGGAACGAATGAATCCGATCTTGATTCATTCGTACGATTGTCAACGCGTATTTAAAAAAAATTCACAAATGAAACATTTATCATTAATCTCATCGAATGAAGTAAAATATATTGCAAGTATTTTTTATTCCCATTCCGAAGCGGGAATAATTGATTGTATTGTAAAATAAAAAGGAATTTTTAACGTGAGGACCGAATTCAGAATCAGAATCTGCTGGAACCATTTTAATTCACGTTCACAGCTGATATTCCGACGTAAAATTGCAGTGAATGAAGTAAAGTAAAATGTTCAATACTTTTAATTTGAAAGTACCCGTTATTGCGCTCATTTCGAAGGAAAAAATACGGAAGGTGGACCGAAAGCCGGAATCAGGCGAGAGAAAAAAAAATGGATACACACTTTCGTCCCGAATAAATTCTAAATTACGAAAAAAGGCTTCATTGAATAAACGTGCCCGAATTTTAAAAATCAGATGCATCTTCAATTCAACTGCATTAATAATCTATCGCAATATCAGAAATGCGAATATTAAATGTAATGCAAATTATCCCAACGCCGAAATTCGTCTCGGTTGCTTCCGAGGCTCGTGTGGAGAAATCATTAATTCGAAGGCTGTACGTGATTAGGAAAAACTTGATTCTTATGCTGAGGGAAATGCGCTCAACTCCAAAGAATAAACGGGAAAGGCTACCCAACCAAAAGCCCCCTATGTCAAAAAGCCCCCTTTGTAAGCCTTACCTTTCCAAAAAGCCTTCCAGCCCTTGCTGAAAGCCCACCCAAGCTTTTTTTGTTTTCTAAATTATGGATGAGAGTTTCATAACAGTATTTAGTGGCCCTGAAAAGGGCCGTTTGGTTGAATTGGTCCTAAAAAGGGTTGTCTTCTGTGCAGCTTTACCTGTGACTCGTTAAAATGTCCGGAGCTAACTGTCCCGATAACTCAAGGTACT